TGCTCAGAGCTGGCGTCCGAAGCCAACTCCTAACCAACGCGCCACTTGGCCGGCCCTGCCCATTTTTTTAATGGGATTTTTCCACCTACTGAGTTGTATGAGTTCATTATATATTTTGGGTATTAACCCTTATCAGATATATGATTTGCAAAGTTTTTTTCCCATTCTGTAGGTTGCCTTTTCTTTTTGTTGATGGTTTCCTTTGCTGTGCAGAAGCATATTAGTTTGATGTAGTTCTACTTCTTTATTTTGGCTTTCGTTGCCTTTGTGTTTGGTGTCAAATCCAAAAAATCATTGCAAAGACTGATGGCAAGGAGCTTACCACCTATGTTTTCCTTTAGGAGTTTTAGGTTTCAGGTCTTATGTTCAAGTCTTTAATTCATTTTCAGTTAATTTTTGTGTATGGTATAAGATAGTGGTCCAGTTTCATTCTTTTGGATGTAGCTGTCCAGCTTTCCCAACACCATTTATTGAAGAGACTGTCTTTTCCTTATTGTATATTCTTGGCTCCTTTGTTGTAAATTAATTGACCATATATGTGTGGGTTTATTTCTGGGCTCTCTATTCTGTTCCATTAATCTATGTGTCTGTTTTTATGCCAATACCATACTGTTTTGATTACTATAGCTTTGTAATATAGTTGGAAATCAGGACGTGTGATGCTTCCAGCTTTGTTCTTTCTCAAGATTGCTTTGGATATTTGTGGGGGTTTTTTTGTGGTTCCACACATATTTCAGTATTGTTTGTTGTATTTCTGTGAAAATGCCACTGGAGTTTTGTTAGGGTTTACACTTAATCTATAGATGGCTTTGGGTAGTACATAAATTTTTTTTTTTAAGATTTTATTGGGGAATTGGGGGAGGGGAGCAGCGCTGGGGAATCGGGGGAAGGGGAATAGACAAGTTGCTGTTGTTTTGTTCTTCAGTCTAGTTGTGGAGGATGTGNTCATGAAACAAGGAGTTTTTATATCCAAAAATAAATAAAACTCTATTCAGATTAGACATCTCTTCAGATTGTACGTGGTGTAGTTATTGAGTCCATTTTGCCTGGGACTCTGTGGAGGGACTATATCTGATAAAGTAGAAGACCCTGACTACTCCAGGGTCAAGAGGGCAGTGTTGAAGTCACACATCTTTTGAAATCTGGCAGATGTTTAACATTATTTATGTATATTCAATTTATTACTTCCTAGTATTTCCAGATTCTTCCTATAGCCATACTCCCTTTCTACCTAAAAGATTTATTTTTCTTTTAAAGCAGATTTCATAGCCCTTCCTCTTTACTAATCTTCCTGGGATGAATTTCAGACATCCAGATATTTCATGTTTGATTAATATCACCTAGAGTTAGAAAACTAAATTTATGCTAATTTTATAACAGTATAGAGGCCCTATTACAGTGCTGAGTATATGTATGAAACTAAAATTTTGTCTTTCCTATTTTTATTTTTTTATTTATTGAAATTAATAACTTGCTGACTTTTAACATCAGAAGGAACCTTGTTGGAGCATTGGAGGTTGTATCAATAGATACTTCTCTGTGAAGAAAGCATAAAGCAAGTATAATATTAATACTACTGATTATGTGCCAAGAACTGTGTTAAACACTTTATGTTCATTGTCTTAATTTAATCCTCCCAATCAACCTATGAAACTTGATTGTGTACATGAGGAAATAGACCAAAGAGAATTTGCTCTAGAACTCATAAAGCTGTAGAACCTGCATCTCTCCCTAAGTATGACTCAATCTACATTCTCTACTACTTCATGAGCCTTTGCCATCAGTAAAAAAGTGATGAGGAAGATACCCAATGTGTTTTTTTTTTAATATGGTAGTGAAGATTTTTTTTTTAAGTTTTTTTTTTAAATTGGGGAATCGGGGGATGGGAACAGCGCTGGGGAATTGGGGGAAGGGGAACAGACAAGTTGCTGTCCTTTTGTTCTTCAGTC